AACAAGAGTGAAACTCCGTCTCAAAAAAAAAAAAAAAAAAAAAAATTCTTTCTAGTTACACTATAATTCCAATTTCAGTGTTTCTAAAACATATGCAAAATATCTGAAAAGAACATGAGGCAGGACTATAAATTATTACTATGGCTATGAGTAGTAATATGGAGAAAACTGGGTTCTTTAACTTTTCGTAAAGTAATGCAAATAAACTTATTTCTTTCACAAAAATATGTTGTTCTTTTTTTTTTTTTTTTTTTTTGGGGGACGGGATTTCCCCCTTTTTTCCCGCCTGGAGGGCAATGGCGCGATCTCGGCTCACCGCAACCTCCGCCTCCTGGGTTCAGGCAATTCTCCTGTCTCAGCCTCCTGAGTCACGCACCACCATGCCCAGCTAATTTTTTGTAGTTTTAGTAGAGACGGGGTTTCACCATGTTGACCAGGATGGTCTCGATCTCTTGACCTCGTGATCCACCCGCCTTGGCCTCCCAAAGTGCTGGGATTACAGGCTTGAGCCACCGCGCCTGGCCCCACAAAAATATGTTGTTCTTAAGCCTGCCTTGACATTCTGATTTTTCCCAGGTATTTAAATAAACTGAAAAGCTACCTTTAGAACACAGTTGCTGTTCACAAGGAGATTCCCTGGCTTAATGTCTCGATGTAAAATGCCAGCTGAATGGAGATATTTCAAACCTGAAATAACAAACAGATTTAATTGCAGATATTTAATACCTTGTATTCAACTAATAAGTTAGAAAAAACCTTGGAAGGAAACAGTAGAGGATTTAGAATTGTTCCCTAAATAACTGCATGATGAACATTAAAAGCTAGTCCTACCTCAAAATACCATAATCTTGCTACAGTAAAATAAAATGTTACCAAAGGCTTGCAAAGTCTGAGACAAAATCTATAATTTAAACAATTATATAGGTTTAAATACAGATAAGCTTCTTAGGCACTTAAGACCTTAGATTGCTAGTCAGTGTGGAGTGCTGCTATTGATACTCTTAACCTGCAACTCTGAGCCTGCTCCAACAAAACATTTTCCATTAACCCACAGGGAGCCTCTCCCAGGACAGAGGTTTCACTGATGTGACAAAATTCAGGAACTTGCCCACACTGTCAGTAGTAGTCTTTACCGCTGAAAATCAAGAGGGTAATGGACGTCTTTACCCTAAGATTTCTGACATCTTAGAAGACCAGTACCTTCATTCAGTACTGCTAAAGGTCCCAGCCTCAAGGTTGAGTCCTTTTTATGTGCGTTCTTTTCTTTCTTTTTCTTTTTTTGGGACAGGATCTCACTCTGCAACCTAGGCAGGAGTGTGGTGGTATGATCACAACTCGCTGAAGCCTTGATCTTCCTGGCTCAAGCCATGCTCCCACCTGGCCATGTACCACCATATCCAACTAATGGGCTAAGTCTTTTTTGGATAAAATGTAGCAAATTACATTTTTCGAAAGTATAAAAAGAGACAATATCTTCCCCATTTTCCCCTATCACAGAATATAGACAAATCTATGGGAGGTCAACTTTTTTTCCTTTTTTTTGGTGACGGAGTCTCACTCTGTCACCCAGGCTACAGTACAATAACACAATCTTGGCTCACTGCAGCCACCACCTCCCAGGTTCACTGGATTCTTCAAGTAGCTGGAACTACAGGCATGCGCCAACATGCCCAGCTAATTTTTCTATTTTTTTAAAGTAGAGACGGGGTTTTGCCATGTTGGCCAGGCTGGTCTCGAATTCCTGACGTCAGATGATCTGCCTGCCTCAGCCTCCCAGAGAGGTGGGATTACAGGCGTGAACCACCATGCCTGGCTTGGAGGTGAACTTTTTAGTTTTAATATTGCTTATATGTTTTCATCCTTTTGGCATATGTTTTTCAATCTCTATAAAGAATCTTTTTTTTTTTTTGAGATGGGGTTTCGCTCTTGTTGCCCAGGCTAGAGTACAGTGGCATGATCTTGGCTCACCGCAACCACCGACTCCTGGGTTCAAGTGATTGATTCTCCTGCCTCCACCTCTCTAGTAGCTGGGATACACCACCACGCCCAGCTAATTTTGTATTTTTAGTAGAGACAGGGTTTGTCCACGTTAGTCAGGTTGGTCTCAAACTCCTAACCTCAGGTGATGCGCCCACATTGACCTCCCAAAGTGCTGGGATTAGAGGCATAAGCCACTGCGCCCAGCCCTTAGAATCTCTTAATTCTATGAATTCTGTGTGTGTGGGGGAAGTAAGAAAGTTATTTCAGCTTTAAGAAATTCTCTACTTGTAATGGCAAAATTCTCACAGACACACTTGATAGCCAGAAGAAGTGTCAGTAATATTGTCCCCAATTTTTTCTCAGTCACATCTGTGCTCTTTAATTAGCTAGTCTAGAGTTATTTAGTTGGCGATATTTATTGGTCTTCTGCATCTACTTTGGTTATAAGGGTCATTTTGTTTCTGTAGGGTTGGCTCCAGGTAGGCCAGCCAGTACTTGGACAGGCCCACCTACTGCTGGCTTGCAGGATGGACGTCATCCATAGAGGATATAGTCACTTTTCAATTTAGTCATCTGATGCTACATATTCCTATTCTGTTGAAAACTAAAGGCTGTTTTGTGAACTCGTAACAAATCATCCTGCTTATTTACCTAGATTAGCTTACTCAACTGCCTAATGAATTTGACAGGGCTTTCTCTTTCATCACTGAAAACAAGAACTTTTTGGCCACCCTCAAAAGCTTCTTCTTTAACATTAAATATAGAAAGTATAAAATATGCATTGGTCAAAAGAAAAAAGTCTTTAGAGAAGAAGAAAGCCTTGGAAGGTCAGATTAAAGTCTAAATGAGAAACAAAACATTTCACTTACAGTGTGACAGCACTTTTTTTTTTAATAAAGAAATCTTACCTCGCAAAATTTGATAAAGAAAAACTTTGACATGATCTGAGCTGAGAGGTTGAGGAGAGACGATAATTTTATGTAGGTCACTCTGCATCAATTCTGTGACAACATATCTTGAAGTTTTAAGTTAAGGAGAGTTCAGCGAATTCAGTTCCCTACCCCCTCAAAATGGTGACCACATCTAAAAAATAACTTCCATTCTCAAGGCTGGAAAAGTAGGGAAAGAAAGCTTCTAGACAGCGTGACAGGTGAGAATTCCAGCCCTTACAAGATAAAACACTACTAAAATTAAAAGAACTTACATGTTTAAAAGTCAGCAGAAGTAAACGACCAAATGATTTCCTTACAATCAGCATTATAAAAGAGAAAACCAAAGGTAAACATTTTAAACAACAGCAGGGCCAGGAAGAGTATGAAGACCAAACAGTTTTTCGCTCTACTTAGACATGTTACAGGAATGCCTTTTGAATCCAAACAAAAGGGGACTGGTGATCTCATCTTAGGCCACCATGACATCAACGGAAAAGATCACGACCTATCCAAGGACCATGGCTTGTTACATTATAAAGTATGGTATTCCTAAACACATGTAAAATGGTTAGTTAAGTCTCTCCACAGTCTTAATAACTTAGTTCTTTTATTATTTAACTTTTTATGTATTTATGAAACACTCCCCCCACCAACACTACCACCACTAGATGTCAAGCTTCTTATGTGTTGTTCTCTGTTGTATGTTTAGGGTTTTGCTCAATGGACACATGACAGTTTATTAAAGGCTGGAGTTTGGGGAGCCATGGAGATAGGGAATTCACAAGACTCTTGTGAAGCACATGAGTGTTAGAAACATTAGGAAATCAAAAGTATGATAATCTTATGATTTATTAAGTTTTCTTAAGGCAATTTCTAATTTAATGTTTTAGCAAAAACAAGTAGGAAAACGGACAACTTGAGAACAGGAAGGAGAAATGATGATAGCCTTTGATACAAACAATTGAAAACTCCCTCTTTTTTCTGAATTGCTTTAGTATCCTTTTTTCTTCAACCACTGTATGTTGAAATGCCCCACAGCTGCTGGTCCTCAGTCCTCGTCCCTATCCACACTCTTGGATATTCAGATCTAGTCCCATGCCTTTAAATAACAACCAAATTTATCCCAAATTTATCTCTCTAGTTAATCCTCTTTTTTTAAGTGCAGACTTAGATATAAAACTGCCTACTTATCATTTCCCCTGGATGCCTAATTGACATTTCAAATAAGTCCAAAACTGTATTTCCAATCTTTCTTCTACCACTTTTTAGCTATCGGCTTTCCCATAGCAAACCCTTTTTTCTGGGAAGTTGCTCATGCCACAAACCACATCAAGGAGTTACCCCTGATTCTCTCTCTCTCTTTCGTCAGACCTCCAACTCAGTAGAAAAATCCTTCAAAATTTAGCCAGAATTAAGGCCACTTCTTTTTTTTTTTTTTTTTTTTTTTTTGAGACGGAGTTTCACTCTTGTTACCCAGGCTGGAGTGCAATGGCGCGATCTCGGCTCACCGCAACCTCCGCCTCCTGGGTTCAGGCAATTCTCCTGCCTCAGCCTCCTGAGTCGCTGGGATTACAGGCACACGCCACCATGCCCAGCTAATTTTTTGTATTTTTAGTAGAGACGGGGTTTCACCATGTTGACCAGGATGGTCTCGATCTCTTGACCTCGTGATCCACCTGCCTCGGCCTCCCAAAGTGCTGGGATTACAGGCTTGAGCCACCGCGCCCGGCTAAGGCCACTTCTTATATCCACTGTTACCACTCTGGCCCAAGACTACTAGATTTCTAAAACATAGCAGCCAGGATAAATCTTTCTATTATTATATTTTTATTTTGCCTATATACTGACATTTACTTTATTACATAGAAAATACAATTTTTAAGGTTGTTTTATCATCCAGATTCTTTCCAAAGAAATATATTCTACTTTGTAATGAAAGCTAATGAGAAATAATAGTTGACATGTGGGATTCATTTGCAGGACAGTTTTCAGTGACATGTTAAAATGATTCTATAAAATGAAGAAGAGTAAAATAATGACATCAGGGTTATAGTTTTTCTTAATAGTTTTTATTTAACTTTTTCCTATAAAAATTTTCAAACATGGAAAATTACACAGAGACAACCCATGTATACATTTACCACCTAGAATCTACACTGACCATTTTGCCATATTTGCTTTGTCACATATCTACCCATTGGTCTTTCCATTCATCGATTCATCCAAAACTGGATGCATTTCACAGAATGATCTTTTAGGATGAAGGCCAAATTATGTCACTTTTCTGCAAAAGCTTTCCATTTTATTTAATAGTAAAAGCCAAAGTCCTTAAAATGGTCTCAGAGGCCATAAATCATTTGGCCTTCTTATTTCTCTGACCTCTTCTATTGCTTTCTTCCTGGATATTCTCTGAACGTGCTAGATACACTTCAATCTTAGGCCTTAGCTATTCCCTCTGTATGGACTGTACTTCCTGACATCTATTTGGTTAACTCTTTTCACCTCCTTTGTGGTTTTGCTCAAATTTTATCTTTAAAATGAGGCCTACCTCAGCCACTCTGACACTACAGTCAGGTGTTGCATAATGATGTTTGGTCAATGATGGACCACATGTATAAAAGTGGTCCCACAGATTGTAATGGTGCTGAAAATTCCTATTGTATTGCTTAGGGATGTCTTGGGGACTAATCCTGTGTAGGCTTAAGCTAATATATGTTTGTGTCTTATTTGAAAAAGTAAAAAAGCAACTCAGACCTCAACTCCACAAAAAATTTAGCCAGGTGTTGTGGCTTGTGCCTGTAGTCCCAGCAGTTACTGAGGAGGTTGAGGTGGAAGGATTACTTGACCCTGGGAAGTCAAGGTAAGACATGATTGCACTACTGCACTCCACCCTAGGCAACAGAGTCAAGTGAGCCATGATTGCACTACTGCACTCCACCCTAGGCAACAGAGTGAGAATAAATAAATAAGAAAAAAAATTTTTTTGTACAGTTGTACAATGTGCTTGTGTTTTAAGCTAAGTGTTATTACAAAAGAGTAAAATATTTAACAAAATTAAAAAGTTTAGAAAGTAAAAAAGTTACATTAAGCTAGGGTTAATTTATATTAAAGAAACATTAAAAAAGAAACTTAGGAAAGGGGGAGAAAAAAATAAACAGTGTACCTTAAGAGTACAGAGTTTATAAAGTCTATAGTAATACACAGTAATGTTCCAGGCTTTCAAATTCACTCACCACTCACTGTCACACCCAGAGCAATTTCTAGTCCTGTAAGCTCCATTCGTGGTAAGTATACCATTCGTGGTATACCATTTTTATCTTTTCTATCATATTTTTCCTGGACCTTTTCTGTGTTCAAATACATTTAGATATACAAATACTTATTATTGTGTTAAAACTGTCCAAAGTATTCAGTATGGTAACATGTTGTACAGGTTTGTAGCTTGGTGCAATAGGTTATACCACACATTAGGTGTGTAATAGGCTATACCATCTAGGTTTGTGTAACAAAACCTGCCCTCCCTATCCAATTGCCATCCCCTTGCACAGCTCTACTTTTTCTTCTTCCCTTAATACTTATTAGCTTATAATTTCCTTATGTTCATTCTCTGTCTGTATTGCCAAGCCTGCTCCATAAAGGCAAGCTTTGTCTGCTTTGTTCACAAATCTATCCCAGACTCTTAGAATAGTGTCTACACATAGTAGGTACCTCTAAGTATTTGATGAATGAATATATATTGAGGACCTACTAGGTACTCTACTAGTATTTTAAATATATAATATTATCTAATTTTCATGGTAAACCTATAAGGTATGTAGTGATAACTAAAATTTAGATAAAGAAATTGATGTTAACAGAAGACAAATAGCCTGCCTATGGTTACATACTAGTGAAGCTTTTAGATCTGATCATGTCTAAAATTGCTTCAATGGTTCAGTGCAATTTTGGATTTATCTTTTCTTATTCCTTTTTATTTAGTAACATTTTAAACACCTATAATAAAATAGGCTCGGTGTACTGGCTCATGCCTGTAATTCCAGCAATTTGGGAGGCCCAGGCGAGTGGATTGCTTGAGTCCAGGAGTTCAAGACCAGCCTGGGCAACATGGAGAAATCCCATCTCTATAAAAAGTTTAAGAAATAGGCTGGGCGTGGTGGCTCACGCCTGTAATCCCAGCACTTTGGGAGGCCGAGGCAGGTGAGGTCAGGAGTTTGAAACCAGCCTGGCTAACATGGTGAAACTCCGCCTCTACTAAAAATACAAAAACTAGCTGGGCATTGTGGTGTGCGCCTGTAGTCCCAGTTACTCAGGAGGCTGAGGCCGGAGAATTGCTTGAACCCAGGAGGCAGAGGTTGCAGTGAGCCGAGATTATGCCACTGCACACCAGCCTGGGTGACAAAGCAAGAGTTTGTCTAAAAAAAATTTTTTTTTTAAGAAATAGCTGAGCGTCATGGCATGTGCCTGTAGTCACAGCTGCTCAGGAGGCTGAGGTGGGAGGCTCTCTTGAGCCTAGGAGGTGGGGATTGCAGTGAGCCCTGATCTAATCACTGCACTTCAGCCTGGGTGACAGAGTGAAACCCTGTCTCAAAAATAAAACCCCACAACGATCACAAAATATACTAAATGTTCACTGTGTTCTTTATAGAAGAATTTCAACTAATAAATGCAGAAATAATTATAGAATTATTTTTAAAAACCCACAGTTTTGCAATCTCTGGAGCTAGGCACCATCAATGGCTGGTAAAACCACTTGAAAAGCATGAGTATGAGATTGACATCACTTCAATCCACAACTCAATTTTACGCATACTTTAATGTGGAACAAGAATATTACTATGTTTGCGATATTCACACCACTGCCTAGGAAGTATTCATGCTCCCCGAAACTTAATTTGAATATATCAGTCCCCTAGTTCTAATTACCAGTTAACTAGAAATATGTGGAATTAAAAAACAAGACACTATGATGAAGCAATCTGCTAAACACACAATGCAGATCATTCTTCAGGAAAAATTTCTTGAAAAAAATCAATGACCATCTCCCTTCTCTCTCCCACAAAAAGGGTCTGTGTGTGGCTGGGTG